AGGGACCAGCAGGACAAGCTGGCTACCTCTGAGTGCAAGGAAGACCCCAGGCCTGGGAAAGAGAACTTTGGAAGAGAAGGTTCCCAGGATTCTTACCAACTGGGGTCTTTAAAGAGAAGAGTGGGGTGTGGGTGTAGGTGAGGGGGGCTTCTGGGAGAAAGGGCAACCCCCTCCTTTCCTCACCTATCACGTCTCCTCCCTCCTCTCCACCCAAGAGATGAGAGGGCGTGTTTAGAGCCCGGAAATCCCAGGGGAGGAGGGGCCGAGAGCGCCCCGGGGGAGAGGAAGGAGCCGAGAGAAGGAGCTTCCTCTGCAAGGGTGGGGTACACCGTCCTGCACCCTCGGAGAGGAGGCCTCCCCAGCCGAGACACGCCCCCAGGCGCGCCCGCAATCCGAAAGGTCTCGGCGCCGCAGAAAGGGAGGGCGGCGGGGGGAGGGTCTCTGCGATCGCCCCCGGGACCCAAGGTCGGCCCCCGGCTTCCTGTACGAGGCGCGCCGCGCAGCACCGGGGCTGGAGACTACGCGCGCAAGTCTCGGGGCGCCGTGGGCTGGAGCGGCCTGAGCGCAGCGCCCGCGCTCTGTCGGGGCCTCCGGAGACCCAGCGGGCGGGAAGGAAGCCGGCGCCCGCCCTTCCCCAGAGCACTGCGGGGCTCGCGGGGCGCCCCTGGGTGCAGCCCTGCGCCCTAAGAGCCCTCAGCATCGCCCTTTCCCGGCCCCGCACTCTGCGCCGCTCTGGCCAGAGCCCCGTCTGCGTGGCCGGGGCTCCCTGCCTCCGGCCGCCCAGGCTTGGCCGGCGTTCAAACGTTCGCCGAGCGCCTGCTGGCTCGAGCGCGGGGGGAGCAGGGGCCACGCCGAGTCTCCGCCGCGGCCGTCACGTGGTCCCCGCAGCCCTCCCGACCCTCAGGGCCGCCCCGGGCCTGACCTCAGGGTAGTCCTCGGGCGCCTGCCGCGCTACTGTCTCAAGGGATTTGCCGTGGCCTCTCGAAACAATGCTGGGGGCTGGAAAGAGGTGGCTCGAGGGTGCCTGCGCTCGGCGGTGCTGCCAGCCTCGTGGGGGAGGCACAGGGCACAGGGCCGGTGCCCGAGGCGCTGCGAAGGCCCGCGGTGGAGCCCCAGCCCCAGGCGGAGCCGCCACGGGGCGGTGCAGGCTTGCTCTCGGCTGAGCAGTGTCTTCTATGAGCCTCTGAGGCCGGACAGCAGGCCTCCTGCACGGTTCAGCTCAGCCGCAGCCTTATTTCCAACATAGCGGGATCTGCTATGAGAAAGCAGCAGCTGTGCGATCCTGTAGGGAATTATGAGGCAGTCTCACCTCTGCGGTGAGCACAGATGAGCGTTATGAATCATATAGANGGGGGGGGGGGGCAAGAGGAAAGGCAAATGGCTCCCACCCGGCTGGAACTCGGAAGAGCGGGAGAAGTTACAGTAAAAGCAGAGGTTTAGCGCGGCGGGCGGGGCTCAGCGCTGAGCATCGGCCTAGGATCCAGGAGATCGTGGTTCGATTCCCCGTCAGGGCACATGCCTGGGTTTCGGGCTCCATCCCCAGTAGGGGGCCTGTAGGAGGCAGCCGATCAATGATTCTCCCATTATCGATGTTTCTATCTCTCCTCCTTCCTTCCTCTCTCTGAAGTAAATATTTATATATATAAAAAAGCAGTTGTTTAAAACGGGTGATTAAGACTGTCTTCAATCTTCAGTATTGAAAAAAACACTGTCCTCACAACAGTTAGGATGGGTACTATAAAAACAGAAAAGGGAGTGCAATAACTGGAATTCTTGTGCACTGTTGGCCAGAACGTAAAGTGGTCCAGCTGTTGTAGGAAACAGGATAGCGGTTCCTGAAAAATTAAAAATAGAATTATTTCATGATCCAGCAATTCCATTTGGGGTACATACCCCAAAGAATTCAAAGCAGGGTTTGGTTTCGTTTTTTAACCAGTCACCTTTTATTAAGTGTTAATTATGATACAAAGGGATTCAGAGGTGCTGGGCAAAGGTCACGGTCAGGCATGCGGCGCCCACACTGGGCCCTCTTCAGTGGTACTCACTCCTATGTCCTGTCTGAGTTCCTTAGAAGGGCAGTTGTGGAAAAACCACATAAGCTGCCAGGACCGTAGAAACCCCACTGACCTGCCCTTTCTTCACACGACATACTTGTAAGTACCGGCAGTAAAATGTGAAACGCTCCAGCAGTGCCTCTGGGGCGAAATCCCGCATCAGCATCCAGGCAGGCAGTTCCCCTGTTTTGACATCCATGGGGTTCTTCTCCTTAAATGGTATGACTGACACCGTCTTGGAGTCCCAGGTGTCCCCTAAAGCAGGTTCTTAAGAGATATCTGTACACCAATATTTATAGCAGCACTATTCTCAGCAGTGAAGAGGTGGAAGCAGCCATTATCCATCAGCAGGTGTATTCACAGAATGGGGTGTTATCTGGCCTTAAAGAGGAAGGAAATTCTGACACGTGCTACATGTGTGAAACTGGAGGACATTTTACAAAGTGAAATAAGCCAGTCACAAAAAGGCAAATACTGTATAATTCCACATATATGAGGTATCTAAAGTAGTCAAATTCATAGAGACAGAAAGTAGAATGGTGGTTGGGTGATTGCCATAGGCTGAGGAGAGGGTCAACTGGGGAGTTGCTTAATGAGTAGAGTGTTTCAGTTTTGCAAGATGAAAAGGTTCTGGAGATCAGTGCGCAATAATGTGAGAGTACTTAACACTACTGAACTGTACACTTAAAAATGGTTAATATGGTAAATGTTATGTTGTGTGTTTTACCACAAATAAATTAATAAAAATAAATATTTAATAAAATATACTAGCAGACCAAATCCAGCAACATGTAAAAATAATTAAACACCATGATCAGACAGGATTTATCCCAGGATTGCAAGGTTGGTTTAACACCTGAAAATTAATGAATGTAATACATCATATAGCGATAAAATAAAGACAAAAACCACATGATAATCTTAACAGATGTAAAAAAGCACTTGACAAAATCCACATGTCTTGATGATAAAAACACTCAACAACTAGGACTACAAGGGAATGTCCTGAACCTAATGAAAGACTGAATGTTTTCCCCATAAGATCAGGAACGAGACAAAGAGGTCCGCTATGGCCCATTCTGTTCTGTTCCGGTCCATTCCATTCATCATTATTACTCTCATCACTTCTACTTTGTTCTATTACATTGTACTGTTCTAGTCAGGATAGTTAGGCAATAAAATTAAGTAAAAGGTATCGAGATTAGAAAGGAAGATGTAAAGCTACTGCTATTTGTATATGGTGATACACAAACTCCTAAGGAATTCATTTTTTAAAAAAGCAAAACTTTATTATGGCCACTTTGGAAGACTGTCAGTTTCTTATGAAACTAAACATATGCTTACCATATCATCCAGCGTTTGCACTACTTGGTATTTACTCAAACAAGTTGATAACTATGCCTACACAAAAACTGACACACAGACATTTATAGCAGCTTTATTGTAATTGCAAAAATTTGGAAGCAACCAAGGTGTCCTTTAATAGGCGAACAGATAATAACCTGTGGCACATTCATACAGTGAAATATTAGCACTAAAAAGAAATGAACTATCAAGCTAGAAAAAGACATGAAGGAACCTTAAATGCCTATTACTAAGTAAGAGATGCCAATCTGAAAAGGCTCCATACTGTATGACTCCAACTATATGACATTCTGGAAAAGGCAAAACTATGGAGACAGTGAAAAGATCAGTGGTTATAAGAGGATGGGGAGGAGGAGTGATAAATGGTGGAGCACAGGGGATTTTTAGGGTGGTGAAATGATTGTATATAACGATGGATACTGTGATGATGTATACATGTCTTTAGACATTTGTCAAAACTCATGGACTGTACACCACCAAAAGTGAACCCTTATGAGCACTATGGATTTGGGGTGATAATATTTTTTCAGTGTTGGTTCATAGATTGTAACAAATGTACCCCTCTGGTATGGGATGTTGATAATGGAGGAGGCTGTGTATGTTTGAAGGCAGAGAGAACGCTGTACTTTCAGCTCATTTGTACTGCGAACCCTAAAATACTCTCAAAAATAAAATCTATTTTAAAAAAATTTTAAATAATGATTCCTGGTACACCATTTAAAAACATTATGTTATGTGAACGGAGCCAGATTCAAAAGACCGCATGTCTTTTGAGTCCATTTATATGAAATGTCCCAAATAGGCAAATCTATATAGACAGAAGGTAGGTTAGTGGTTTCCAAGGGCTGCAGGAGGGGAGAATGAGGGCGTGATGGCTAAGGGGTTTCTTTCTGGGGTGATGAAATGTGCTAATATCTATTGTGGTGTGGTATCATAACTGAAAATACAAAGAATATTGCATTGTGCACTTAAAATGGGTGAGTGATACAGTCTGTGAATAACATCTCAATAAAGCTGCTGAAATAACCATGTTGTAGTCGTAAACATGGAAAGATGGTCATGGTAAGTTATTCACACACACAGACACACCAAAGAACAACCAACCAACCAACCAACCAACCAACCAACCCACCCCTCAAGGCTTCCAGGAGCGCTTCTGGGACAGTCCTTCCCAAGCCTGAGCCTGATACCAGCCATTTTAGCTCATTTCCCTACCCTCCTCTAAGCATTTTGTGCTCTCTGGGCAGCCTCCGCGTCTGCAGCTCTGGCCTGAGATTGGTTTGAGTAGGTCGCGAATAAACGAATAAATGGATGAGAAAAATGGGCAGCGCGGGGCCATAAAGGGCTTCACCGAGCGCCCCCAGGTGGCCGTAGGTCTCTGGCATCACTTCCCGGCACAGGGCCCTCGGTGCTATAGGCTTCAACGCGCCCCCTGGAAGAAATACTCGGCCTTGGCCGCGAAGCTTTCCAGCCCCTTCCTCCTCCACTCAGGTCCAGGCTCTGGGCTCCGGATGGGGCGCGGGCGCGGGCAGGGGCGGCGCTTTGGACTCTTTCAGTTCCCAGGTCCTAGATGTTACAGCCCCAGGGCCACGGTCTCTTCCGGGCTGAGACACTGCTCCGCTGGGCCCGGCGTCTGAGCGGCACGGATCCGGTTCCGCGTGGGGCCACGCCGCGGCCAGAACGGAGTCGCTCTGACGCTCGGAGTGGAACAACGGTACCGGAAAATGCCTTAAGAGGATATGGCGGCGACCCGCCCTCACGGCCGTCACTCTCACGCAGGCCGAAGCTCGTCGTTAGTTCCCTCTAGGTGATCTTATCAAGTCTGAGTCCGCTCCCAACTCTAGCTCCCGCTCCCATAATTCCTAACCCCTCGTTGGGTGCCTGCGGCTATTGGCTTGAGGACGCGACTTCTGACCGCGCCCAGTGATTGGATTACTCCCGACGTTGAAAAACTATATCTGCGCTGATTGGCCCCTTGGGCCAGACTCTAGGACGCTGTTGCTAGGCAACGCTTGACAGGGGGCCGGGCTCTGGGGCGCGGGCTCAGGCGTTCGGAGGGGTTTCCCGGGAAAGGAGCGGGCTTGGTCAGCGTCCTCTGCGCGATTCCACCTCGGTTCCCCCTGGTCCGCTGACGCACGAGGCCTCCGAGGGCGCGTCCTGGCCGCAAAATGAACTGGTTCCTGTCCTGAGAGAAAACAATTCTGGGAAGCTGAGCACATTCACGGAATTTCTACACTATGGGACCCTCTAACCCTGGGCAACACTCCACATGAGGGTAGGCAGTGTGGTCCCTATTTAAGAATAAGAGCCCAGCTGGTGTGGTTCCGTAGTTAAGCGTGGTCCCATGGGCTAAGAGGTCCCGGGTTCGATTCCCAGTCCGGCCACATGCCGGGCTTGCGGCTCTATCCCCAGCAGGGGGCGTGCAGGAGGCAGCCATTCGATGTTGATGCAGCGATGTTTCTGTCTCCCTCTCCTTTTCTCTCCCTAAAATCAGTAAAAAACTATTTTTAAAAAGAATAAGAAAATTGAGGCTGGCTGACAGGCCTGTCTGGCTTCAAGTCCAGTGTCCTGTCTACTGACCTAATTAATCACTAAGGGGTTTCCCTTCTGAGCCGGCATGGCCTTGGGAGAGCTCACAAACACTCCTGGGGTTGAAGTCCTGGCCACCAGCAGGGCTTCACTGATTCACAGAAGCGCCCCTTCTCTTTTCTCCACCGCTTTGAGGGCTGAGTAGACAAAGTCAGAATCATCCTTTGTTGCTCCTAAGCATCTAATAACTGTAGCGATAATAAGAAACACAACTGCCCACACAATGTGCTGGGAGTTGTGCAGAACACTCCAAATACATTACCTGGTTAATTTTATTTAATCCTCGAGACAAACCCAGGAGGCTGATCATCTCACTTTCCGAATGGGGGCGCTCAAACTCAGTCCAGTAAGAAACTCCCAGTAACACAGCTAAAGGGAGCCAGCAATAGCACCCAGTGTATCTGACTTTGAAGCCCAAATATCCTAACTCTTATGCTATACAGCTTCTCCTAGGCACAACAGTTGTTTAAAAATATGGAAGTAATGATAAAACTTTCTTTGCTTTCCCCTTACCCCTGTGCCCCATTCCTTGCACCCCAAGAAAGAGACCCATTCTATAATTAGCTTCCTTTACAGATATGAGGTACAGGACCTGTGAGCTCAGGCCTTCGAGTCAGAGGAAACTCTTGAGCCCTGCCTTTACCTCTTACCGCTTCTTCACCTTGCCAGTGTAGGTTTCTTCGCTTGTAAAATTGGGGTCATACTATCTACCTTAGACATGTCATTGAAGTTTTGTGGGTTTTGTTGTTGTTGTTTGTTTTTTTAATCTTCACCCAAGGATATTTTTTCCATTGTTTTTTCAGAGATAGTAGAAGGGAGAGAGAGAGAGAGAGAAACATCCATGTGAGAGAGACACATCGATTGGTTGCCTCCCACACGCACCGGGACCAAGGCCAAGGATCTAGCCTGCAACCGAGGTGCGTGCCCTTGGCTGGAATTGAACCCAGGACCCTTTGGTCTTTAGGCTGGCACTCTAACCACCGAGCCAAACCGGCCAGGGCAAAGTTTAAAAAAGCTGTAAAGTGTGGGGCCTATGGTAGGCAGTTAACTCAAGTGACTTATTATATGAAAGAGACAGAACTTAGCTAACAAGAGAGATGCTGTGGTTTGCAACCTGGGGAATTTCCCAGATGAAATCTGAAACTGGTTCCCATACACGGAGGGCAAGGAGAGAGCAAAGAAAGAGGCAGACTACTCCAGACTAGTTGGTAGGTGGCAGGTTTAACAAGGCAGGGAACTTACATACAAGGCTTGTCTTGGGCAGCTGTAAGTAGGTCTCCACCCATGCCCACAAAAATCTTAAAAGTTTATATAGGGGCCTTAACAGGGTTCAGTCATATATACTGTCTGGATGGTCTCAACAACACATTGCTCTCTCAAGTCTTCATCCTTGAAAATGGCTCCCATTGTGGAGCCGGTGGGCAGAACACACATTCCAAGGATGGGGAGGGGGTGAGGAGCCTCCCAATTGCCCAGGTTTGGCTCACGGATCAACCAAGATGGCTCACAGGTCATCTTGATCACCTCCTCCAACAGATGTTTCCTAGCGTGTTCTACTATCTTGGAGCAGTAAGAAAATACCATAAGTATATAATTTTCATTCTTGGAGAAGTCTTGAAGGTTGGGGTATGACTTTCACCCCCACCTTCTGATTCTATCCCTTGGCTATTCAATATCTTCCATTCCCATATTCCTGGTGCCTGCCCTCCTCACTCTCCCAGGCTGACTAATCTAGACTTACGGAAGGTATCTGGGTAATGCTTAACTTCTGGAAGATGTCTCTGGATCTGCATCTAAGAACTGAGACCCAAGCTCATGGCTACTTATTAACATGTATCTTGATCTTTTTGTTAGTTTGTTTTCTACCACTGAGGGTGGTTCTGCTGATGCTAATTCAGGTGATGTCCTGTGGGAGCTGAATAGGGCCCTGTGCTTCATGAACAAGTAGTGAGACATTTCTGGATACTGCTTCTGTGGCGATTCAGCTCTTAGGCTCCTCAAGAAGCAACAGCCACACCCAGGGAAGAGGCATGGCCATGCACCTTGGGTGCAAATCCAAGGTAGAGTTTGCAGAGCTCAGCTACAGTCAAGGCAACATATCTAATTCAGGGTTTGCAGTGGAGGGTTAACACGGACTTGGATGGAGGTTTCAGGTTCAGTGGTGTTCAGGAATAGTGGGTCCAGGCCATGGTTCTTTGTCTCAGGGTGAGGCGCCTGCTGCAGCACTGGTATCTCTATCTCCCAATGTTTCTTGACTTTTGATCCCTTCATTCTGCATCTCCTTCCCCTTACTTTCTGCTGGAGAAGAGGGAGAATCTCAGGACTTGGACTATAAGCAGCTTTAGTCCATGAGGCTTTTCATGGTTCTTGGAGGGATAAGGAAAATTCAATGAGGGCAGTGGGAAAATTCAAAGACTTGAGTCAGACCTCCCCTGGATAATCGATTAAGAGAGGCCCTCAAGTCCCCACAGCTGGCTCATAGTCCTACAGAATCCTGGGAACACTGACCCCTTACCAAGAGCCCATCTTGTCCATGGGGATTGCTAGAACGCCTCAGTCTGGGGCATTGTTCCTCACCTGTGAAAGACCCCCCCCCCCC